GAATGTGGAACAATTATCCAAGATTTTAAAATCAATCGACTTAAGCCAATAATTCACCCTGTTAATATTTGCTATTCTTTCATATTTTTGGGAGATGACACCTCCGGAATTATTTTCACTTCCCTATATTAATTCCTACTAAAATGAGCAGGTAGCCAAGAAACTTACTTAACCTAGCCCAAAAGGTATAACTCGTTGGACTAAGCTTCATGTTCTTGAAATACTAAAAATTTTTATTTGATATTTTATATGGCATTTGAATGAATGTCTTTTAATTGGTAGATCATTCACATAAACCTCAATTTTTTTTCATTTTTTGATTTGTAAATATTACATTCATCATCTTTTGAATTATCGCACCAATATTCTTAAACTCAAAGAATACTATATTATAATAATATAAAACATGTTTCAAAGTAAAATTACCCTTCTCACAATCAATTGGATGTATCTTATTCTAATTCTAATGATTGCTCAAGAAAGCGTCAAGAAAGCACAACATTAAGTAGTCTACTACAAAGTCTACAAGTGTGTCTATTCATGGCAAAGGACAAGTATTCTTTGGTTAGGCCAAATTCAAATTAGTGAAATCCATACATATCTACCATTTGCCATTAGAATTCAACACCATTACAATATTAGCTATCTAGCCCAAGTATTGTACTTCTCTAATGAATTTTCTTCAAGCAATTTCTAGACTTATTGGTGGACTTGCTCTGCAAGTTTCATAGCAATTCGCTCCATCTTCTACACACTCGGTCTCACCATGGGATCGACGTTACATGTGTGATATGTAGCATTAATATCAACATCTAGCATCTCATCAACCAACCAAGCGAATAAATTCGTGTTTTCCCTGAGCTGAAATTTGTCTCTTCCTAATTTGCCATCAAATGTTGTGCTTATCATAAAAAAGTCCTATTCTCCCCATGAATAACGATGACTTCTTCTATGACGAGTAGTTTCCAGTTTGCTTCCTTTCTGCACATCGAAATATATCCACAGCTTTCGAATAAACCCAAAAAATATTCAATAAAGGCTAGCCAAAGACGAAATTGTACATAATTGACACACCAACTACAACAAAGTAATTCATAGCAGTGAACCATTGCTCTCCTTCTCCTTGTGTAATTGGCAGTGATTACAACTATCATTTTGCACTCTCCAAAAACACCAAAAAGTAACCTCTACATAACAATGAGTTGTGAACTTTCCATCGAAACTTTTGAATAGAATGTTCACCAAACTCCTATCATCCATTGGGATGCTTCCAATCTAAAAATTCAGTATCAGCCAAATGACCATGAAGTTGCTGAATGGTTGATCAGTACTAGTAAAAGCTTACCATTTAATTTTTTTTAATTACTAATTTTGAAAACACTGCATTCCCTAAACAAATTAAATTACACGAAAAATTGCATCATTTTAAATAGTTGATAGGATTGAAATAAAAATCATTCCAAAAAAGAAAAAAAAAATCAACCACTTCCAAATTCGATTGATTCGTTTGATGATCGTGGTTCTATTAATTATTTACATAATTTTTTTATTATACCATGATTTTATATATGGCACAAGATCACAAGCTTACAGTCTAGCAAACCAGAGATAAATGCTTTGGAATCATTCATCATAAGCAATTAAAAATAAATCATTAGATACTATTAATGTCTAATTAAAGAATCATAAAATAAATTTCAGAAATACATGAAGAAAATAAGATAGTTTACATTAATGAGCGATGGGAGATATTACCTTCCCTTCATAAATTAATAAAATCGCATGCCACTTTATAAAAAATAATATTAATATTAATATCAGCAATAAACTCAATATTAAATACCACATTCCAGCCATCTAAAAAATCAGCGTTAAATCATTCATTCAAAGACCCAAGCCAAGCCATTTCAAATGGGTCGGTATTTTAAAATCAACTACAACTCAAGCCAAATCATGACACCAAACCAGGTTTGATAAATCAATAAACAGCGTTAAATCATTCATTCAAAGACCCAAGCCAAGTCATTTCAAATGGGTCGGTCAATTTTAAAATCAACAGCCAAATCATGACACCAAACCAGGTTTGATGAATCAATAACGACTATCATAAAGTGAACTAAATATTCCAAAAAGAGACATCTGAACTTAATAGTGATGTTAGAACACAGGCTTTGATCCCTACGATAAAAAAAAAAAGGAAAATATAAAACAAGAGGCTTTTAGAATTATAAACCAAATTTAAAAAGAAAAAGGTTCTACCATTGCCAGTGGATGGGAGGAGTTTCAGATGTATCTTCAAACAACACCTTACTGCTACCCTGGAACACATCTTGGCAATGGAGATTGGTACCATTAGCTTCTGATACTACTTTGCTGCCCACATTCTCATCCTCCAGTTGCCCACATGGCATCCCTGCCATTGATGCACGAGTGGAAGAGTGAAAGCAAGGATACAGTTCTGCACTATTACATAGCTGCAAATGTTGGTCCGGCAAAATCTTATTGACGTTGTACATCATTGGACCTCGGTTGATGTGTGATGATTGGGAAGAAGATGACAGAAGAGAGAAAGCACGATCAGAGCCAGAGGCTGCCACGCTCTGCTGCAAGTATGGGAACTGTAGAGGGAGACCGGAAGAGTGGAGAGTTCCGTGGTCAGATTTTGATGAGAAGTTGATCCAGTTAGAATCAGGTGTTGTGGTGGAGCATGTATGCTGGTGTAAGGAGTATCTGGTGCCTGCTTGTTGAAGAAATTTGGTATTAGTCGGTTAGTATAATAGAAAGCTCGTACTCAAGTTTTAGGTAGAGAAGGAAACCATGGGGATTTGTTAGGGAGTTTCCTGAGCTCTGAGCATCCAGCTGGGGTGGCTTCCTTCGGCGCCTGTTGTGGCCATCGAGGCGCTTCCTGCAACTTCGCTTTCCCTCATCAAACTCTGCCAAAGAGTGGAATCTGAAGGAAAACAATAAGCAAATGGTTCAAGGGCTTTTCTACAAATAAAAGGTTTATTAAGATAATGAAATCAATATATTTACACATAGGATTATCATAAGTTGATCCCAACAAACCCATCAAGTGGGGAAAATCTAAAATCTAATTCTGGTTGATGCCAAACATTTGCAAAGTTAATGAGGAGATATATTTTGTCCTCAAGAAATTTCAAGGATTCACTCCATTCTATATTTCTATTTTTTTTCCAAGGAATAGTGCATAGATGGAAGAAGCATCCCCCAGTTATATGGTCACGGGAAAGCTGATTTACGCAGCCTCACCAGAGGCTTCTACCATCTTCCCCATCATCAAGGGTTTAAAGAGTTTTTCAAGCTTACATTTGTGAAGTGTTTCTTCGAAGACTTTAGCTTTCATTCAAAAAGGGTTTTTTTTTTTAATTTTTATTACTATTATTTTCCTTTTTCTATTTTTTTTATCTATTCTCCAAATACACTTCATGCTTCTTACGAAACTGTTTTGAAAAGAAAATTTGCATAAAGTAAAACTATCATCTTCACTAGCTTTAGACCATAATGAATATAACTTTAACTAAAAAAATTCCAAATAATTGAGATAAAAATAATAAGACAAAAGAAATCAAAATAGTCTTCCAACTATTTATAGGTGGAGCCCAATCTAGTCCCAAACAATATAAAAAATATGGTTTATTTCCCGCACTCTAAAAAATATGAGCCAAAATAAATTCACCATTAATCGTGATGAAAATAGAAGCTAAAGTTGACAACGATCTTAAAAGTGAGAGTACTTCAAAAATTTATATCTTCAAATTTTATAGAATCTAATAAATACATTTTTCTAGTTTGAAATATTTTATTAAAAAAAAGTATAAATAATAATTGTTGAATTTGATAAATTTAATATACATTAATTCGCACAGAACAACATGAAATGTAGTCCATTAATTTTAACTTTAATTTTTATTACTTTTGATGGCAGGATTATTTAGCCAACTATTTTAAGATCATAATAATTAAATCAGACTTTTTTGTATAGTTGGGGGATAAAATGAACCCCCACAAATAAGGCATTTTGGTACTTTTCACGAATAAAAATGATGCTAAATAACAAAGATGTTAATGATGTATCACCAATTAAGAATGTAAAAGATTTCGATCATTTGAATTTTTTGGCCCATTATCACAGAGGGTTCGCCCGCAGCCGGCCTCGGGCACGACGCACCGGATGTGAAGAACAAAGGAGATGTTCGGAGATATGAACCAGCACTGAATGCTTACGTTAAATTCAAAAGAAAAAACTCATACAAGTGAAAAAATAAATAAAATTTACTTTCAGTTAAACTATTTTCAAGCTTCAGCATAAGGAAAGATTAAGGGATTTGAGTTATTGGTTTTATTGATAGCATGTCCATATGTATTCTTGTTTAAGGGATGCATCAATTTTAAATTGTACTTTGCTCTAGAAATATTTTACAATATCAAAGTACTTATGTTACTACATGTGAACGAAAGTCACATATAATAATTGTAGCACATCTCTTTCGACTAATAAAACATTTCATTTTAGAACTATCTTCATCAAATTTGTCTACTCAATTGCTCTCACAAAACATTAAAATGATTTTAAAAAAAAGAAAAATCTAATACCCTTATCAAAATTAACAATTTCTTTCACTAAGCACTAAGCTTATAGGTAGAAACAACAGAGTTTGCAGCTATTTGATTCTACTAAATTTTAGGACGATGAAATTCATCTATTCAGGAAAGGTTATGAATCCTTATTTGACCACAAAGTAATAGCTTAATATATGATGAAGGGAAAATTATCAGTTAAAGAGCCACTTGTTCTCTAAGAAACAATAGAGTTTGCCAGCTTGGTGGTCTCTAGATGTTAATCTACCTCATGGATGGCTAATATTTGAACAGATAACAAGTGGAATACGGTACGTTATAATCATAAACTCCTGCACATGTGATAAAAGTCATATCTTCTTCTATTTGTGATTCTTTATCAAGATTTTTTTTAGGGATATTTCAACATCTAGTATTAATTTGCATTCTAATTTCCCGCTTTTGCAACTAAATGTACAAGTAAAGCGTTGTGTTGGCATTCAAACATGGACAATTGGTAGAAGAAAAGTTCCTGACAATTAAGCAATTATTAAATTGTAAAATCACACAAAGTTTCAAACTACACAACCAAAAAACTCAATTAATCATTGAGAGATATGAACAACTATATGAAAAGTGTAATATAACCAAACCTGATGAATCAAACATACAAAGCAAAAGAAAAACAGCGGGGCAACAGAACAAGTAAATCATTTCATAAATTCATACAGGAGAACAACTTTCTCAAGCATGCCACAATAACTTTGTTAAGACTTATAAATCCTTAATTACAGTACAATCATTAGTTTGTTTTCATTTTATCCCCTTTGTTAGGGGATATGTTAGCCATCAAATTTACTAATATCTAAATATAAGCAGCTTGGGTGCGGATAGCAAAACTCAATAAGCACACAGAATGCTAAATTAATGAAATTTATGTACCATTAACCTTTAAAAAGGTTAAGATAACTATTCACATAGTGAACAAAATTCCAAAAAACAAAAAAAGCAAATAGCAAAAAACACATCATAGACACTTTAAAATTCATGTAAAAAATTACAACAATTATTACTCATAAAACTAAAATAATCAAGATTTTATAATGAGAATCTTTCAACAATTATATGTTTATGAAATTACAAAATAATATTAGTTAGGCTTCCATTAACCAAATGAAACTTGATTAACTTCACTCGACTACTACAAGGAAAGAAGATGAATCCAAGAAAAAAAAAACTTAGCAAGCACAATATCAATGTAAACTATTATTGCAAAGTATAACTTTATTACAACGGATAATAGATGAGAATCCAAGGATCAAGCAACCTAATGTGAAAAAAAAAAAAAAACAGATGTCCTTTACTAATCCTTATCCACAAATTTTCAAATTACATTACAAAAATAAATTGTTCATGCTAGCAGTTGAGAAAAACGTGGTCAAAGCGTATTAAGCCAAACTATAATGGTGAAGCTAATCATATTACCTGCTGCACTGCTGACAGAAACGTTGCTCCCGACCGCCAACCACCACAACTGGAGTCTTCGAGTGAACCTCGCATACCTTGTGCCGCTTGTGATACTCCCTGCACTTGCTAAGATCAGCAACACAGCCGTCCACTGAACAGGAAGCAATATACCCAGTACTGTTAGGAACCCTAGCCCTCCTTGATGCACCAGAGGATGTCACCATGGAAGCTGTGGTCCTCAATATTTGACCCTTCCTCTGATTTGATAATTCGAAATCTCCTAATTCCCCAAGTTTCAAACGAAACGAGTAATCAAAACTGCGTCCCTGTTGTTGAAACTCACTAATTGATCAATTCAAAGAGAAGAGGCGTGTTTCGATCTCTTGATGCCACTCTGCCAAATCCCAAGGAGGCATCGTCAAGTTCCATTATACGAAAGCAACCCTTACAGATTCATTTAAACGCCTTAAAAATTCTATATCGTTACTTTTGTTTCGTCTAATATCTATCATTTTCTTTGTTTCACGCCTCGCCCTCCTGTCCCTATCCGGCAAAATTCTCCCATGCGTGTTCTACTAAAATCCTATTCACCTTTTCCCTTCCCCATCGCAGACAAAAACAAAAGTAATTCGTGAAGAAGTTGAAAAAAAAAAATGAAAAACAATACATTAAATGAAAACAAAGCAGAAAAAGAAGATAATAAAGAACATATCGCAATTGAAGGACCACAGAAAAGTCAAAAACAAAAAAAAAGGAGGGAGAGAAAGAAATCAAGTTGCCCACCAAACCAGAAAAGGCAATCAAACAAAGCAATAAAATTGACAAATACATCAAACAAAAACCCTAACTAATCGGCGCGAACAAATCCAACTCAGGTAAAACAAAAAAGCATAGACTATCCGATGGTTCGAAAACAAGATTTGTTCAAGAACGCACCAGAAAAAAAATATCATCCAACAACCCCAACGAAAAACGAACTCGCCTAGCAAAACCCTAAAAGACAACCAAAGGTATTCACAATTTGGGTTAAAGAACCAAACAAACAGCTGAGCCGCATTCACTACTTACATCCAAATGAGACAGAAGAAGCACGAGACAGCCTTATCTTCCTGCCAACATGCAATTTCTCACATGGATTCCACAAACTGTAGCAAGAGAGAGGGGAAGCGGTAGAAAGCAGGAGTGCGTAATCCAGAACCACCAGCACCTTGTTCTTATCAAATAGCCGTAGCTGTAATGAAAGCCCTATGCCATAGTTATCCGGAGAAGTTCAAATCTGCCATTTTCTTTTTTAGGGTAGGGGATGGCCATCTAGATGGTAGATCGGCCATAACTAGCTGGCCATCAGACCATTTATTGAATTTAATAAGTGCATAATTCACGACATTCCATACGGCCACTTCGTAGACCGATGTCATCCTTTTCTTTTTCCTTTGTTAAATTGCATAATTCGCCATTGTTTCTCCGGAGCTTCGTGCCTGGTTCTGCAATATGCAAAGATATATTTTCTTATAAATTATGACTGTCGTGTCAAGAGCAGATAGAGCGGATCAATATTTAATTTTTTTGCAGTATTTTTTAAAAATTCTTTTTCAGATAACTTAGATGGCGCGCTCCGCGTCTCCACGTCTTTTATAGCTTCTGAATTTTTTTGCTTTTATATTTTTATTTATATAATATTTGAAATATAAAATTTAGGAGCCTTAATTTAGTACATTCTCATCAGAGAATTCATAATTTTAATTTCAAATTTTCTTTTCTCCGCAAGGATTTGAAGTCTATTGGTGGGATGGAAGGCCAATATCTCTTGCAGTTAGGGCCGTCAAAACGGCTCGTTGTTCACGAACAGCTCGTGTTCGGCTCGTTAATTTTGTTCGATAAGTTAACGAGCCGAACACATCGTTTTGGCTCGAAATACTACTCATCAAGTTTATATATATATATTAAGTAGTATTTTAAAAAAAACTAATTGACTACAAGGCTACAAAGATTTATAATCAATTAAAATATTGATAAAGAAAATATAATAAAAATCATTAAATTAGATTCAAATGATGTTTTAATATAAATAATAATTTTTAAAACTTGCTCAAATCCTTCTTGTCTTATGTCTTATGGCTTATGGCTAAATGTTTAGGGTTGTTAAAAGGACTCTTTGTTCTTGAACAGCTCGTGTTCGGCTCGTTAAGCAAACGAGCCGAA